ATATATTTATATATAATTATATATATATATATATATACTGTCTCTTATACACATCTAGATGTGTATAAAAGACAGTATATATATATATATATATAATAATGTGCACTTTAAGAAACATCATTGGCCATTGAAAATGGTATACCATTGATATTGGTCTACAAATACCTGATGGTTGATGGATTGGTTGATTGATTAATTAGTTGGTCGGTTGATAAATAAATTGATTGATTGATTTATTGATTGCTCGGTTCAAAGCGTCAACTAGGCATGGCCAGCTATAATGTAGCGTCTAGTCGGTAGCTGTTACTGCTTCTGAGTTGATTGTCTCTGCTTGATTGTTACCCGGAATACTTGTGAACAAAAAGATAGCCTTATGGACCGTCTTTGCGATCGTAATTTATATATTTATATATTACGTACATACTATAAACTATACCTACACATAAACTGAAAGGTCCAATGATTAATCTCAGATAAGAAAGTATAATACCTGCACATACTCCAAGTATTGACATGCACGCCATCGTGTTGTGACTCAACATTTCGACATTAAATATATCATCATCAGGAATCCTGATGATGACATAATTGACGATGGTGATTAGATTATGTCATTCCCGCTGATGACATAATTAATTTCGGTACATTATATCCCAAAACGATGGCGTGCATTTCAATACTTGGAGTATGTATTATACTTTCTTATGAAACATAATTGGAGGAAACAAATTAGGCATATGTTTTCGGAACGTCAACAAAAAATCGACTGTTTGAAAGTTTCTATTTTGGCTTTTAATATAAATATTATTATAGTAACAATATCAAAGGGGAAAAAATGCTGCGAAACGTTTAATATTTAAAAAAAATTCCAATCAATAACATTTTAAAATGAAACATCATATGTAATAATAAAACCTATAATGAAACAAGTATACAAGGACTCATTACAGTTTAAACTTCATACAATACCGGGGATGAGTCAAATACCTCCAGAAAAATCTAAAAACAGGCTATAATATAATGGATAACTCTAAAACGTATATTTGCTTAATTTTGGCAAACTAATATTACGATATCACATCACCATTTCGCACGTTCGTATCTAAGAGTGACTGGAAGTTGAATGCTGCGAAACGTTTAATATTTAAAAAAAATTCCAATCAATAACATTTTTAAAATGAAACATCATATGTAATAATAAAACCTATAATGAAACAAGTATACAAGGACTCATTACAGTTTAAACTTCATACAATACCGGGGATGAGTCAAATACCTCCAGAAAAATCTTAAAACAGGCTATAATATAATGGAAAACTCTAAAACGTATATTTGCTTAATTTTGGCAAACTAATATTACGATATCACATCACCATTTCGCACGTTCGTATCTAAGAGTGACTGGAAGTTGAATGCTGCGAAACGTTTAATATTTAAAAAAAATTCCAATCAATAACATTTTTAAAATGAAACATCATATGTAATAATAAAACCTATAATGAAACAAGTATACAAGGACTCATTACAGTTTAAACTTCATACAATACCGTGGATGAGTCAAATACCTCCAGAAAAATCTAAAAACAGGCTATAATATAATGGATAACTCTAAAACGTATATTTGCTTAATTTTGCCAAACTAATATTAAGATATCACATCACCATTTCGAACGTTCGTATCTAAGAGTGACTGGAAGTTGAGGTGTACATTAAAGCTTTTGATTACGCGACGACGGTAGGACTTGCAACATAATGGCGTCACTAAGAAGTTGAGTTGTTGTTGTTGTCGTCTGGATTCTAAGTCGCAACTTGGCCCAAACAATACGTTGTGCGTAAAACGTAGGACGGTCACGGATGAGTAAATCTGTTCTAAAGTCACGTCGTCGCTCATATCGAAAGCTCTAATATTATATATATTATTATAGGGTTAGTCGAAGAATTTCATTCTCCAGAACGGCTTTATTGTTTCGTTGAATGTAAAATCAAAACCAGGCCGACACTCACGAAGACCTTCCATTATCTTCACCACTAGTTTTGCGTCATCTAAGGCTCGATGCAACTGACCTTCCACCGGAAGTTCTGAAAATTATGATGATTATTTTAATAATAGTAAAACAATTATGAAAATAATATTCAAATGAATAATAATTGTATGATACTCAGAATATGAATAAATCACAGCTCACCACTATCATAAAAAGAGCAACTTTATTAAACAAAAACAACGATCTCTCGTGAACTCCCCTCTCACCCCGACCTAACCGGTCGCTAGGCAACTTAGGCCTATAGGGCGGTATACCACTTACTTAAGTGGTAAGTAACATAGTAGCCCTACACCTTCCCCAAGATCTTTAAACTTTATGAATGATCTTCAAACAATAAAACATCATATAATACTCAAAGTTCATTCTATACAAAGTCCTTATATCTCACTGGCGATTGACCAGGGAGTACGCTTCCTAATATACCGTCGTTTACGTACGAGAATCCGACCGCCTTGGGTTCGTATGAGGTATCTTCTGTTCGGACCAATTTCCACCACTTGTCCATAGATGTCAAGTCGTTTAGTGATGTGATTGTAAATGCTGATGTTGTTTCCAGCTTTGATTTCAGCTAACTGCTTTGTGTGTATGTCGAAGTAATCCTTTTCATATATTTTCCCCCTTGCAAGATCTCTGTGTCGTTGATGGTCTTTAAGTATTGAGACTTAAATGAAAGATGATGAGCAGGAAGAGTATCTTGTATCGGCGTACCGAATAACTTCACTGCCGGAGAAAGTAAATCCTTTCTAGATGGGGTGTTTTTGTAGTAAAGCAGTGCTTTAGCGAGTAGGTCGCTATCAGGTGTACGTCTCTCTCGTGAGATCTTCTTCATGGATTTCACTGTTGCTTCCGACTTTCCGTTTGATTGCTGATGATACGGCGAACTGTAATGGATGTTTATTTGCCAGTTTCGTGCAAACTCCTTAAAAAAGACGACGTATAATATTGTGATCCTCCATCACACCAGAAAACGTTGAGTATACACCAGTATTCATGAAGACTTCTCTTAGCTTTGAGATAGTTGCATGGGACGTTGTGTCCTTGCCCATAGCAATGACGGTGGGCCAATCAGTGAGGCAGCACACTAATATTAAGTAGTTTTGTCCGTTGATTTGTGCAAAGTCTGCAGCAATCTCTTGCAATGGCCTGCTTGGCTTCAATTTTTGGATCCATGGTTCCTTTGAGTTCATTGGAAGATGATCTTGACAGAACTGACAATCATTGATGCATGCCTCAATATCGGTGTCAATTCCTGGCCAATAGACAATCATGCGTGCCCGGTCGCGATTTTTTTTCCCGTACGAAACATTTACATGAAACTCCACTCGGGCCGTCTCGACTGAATCGACTCGGGCCGAAAATCTCATATTGCAGAATTCAGGAGGTCAAAAGGTCATCAACAGCTTAACGTACAAAATGCAAAACAACTTCTGAGAGCGTCGCTGTCTGATTTTAAAAAAATATGTTACCATGCTAATACTAATGCGTAGTTTAAAATGACATGTAATGTGAGCTGCACGAGTAATGGAAAGTGTTATTTGAACTTGAGTTAAATACTGTGACAATTTTATTTATTTTTTTTTAGTTAGATCTGGGTTTTGTATATTTACCTAGGCCTACTAACTACTAAAAATATACGCTTTCAGGGGAAAGCACAAAGAGGAAGGAATAGCGCGTTTCTTTATCAAATGAAACAGAGGGTGACAGTTATTTTCAAATTAAGAGAAGAGCTGAGAATAGGCAGATCTAAATACTGGATGCCAAAGACCTGCCAAAATGGCATAAGCCTAGTTATATGGTGTATCTGCAGGTTCTTGATTACAAGGCTAGACCAAGTTAATTAATGCCGAAATGATTATATTTATTATTATTATTAGGCCTATTATTATTATTATTATTATTATTATTATTATTATTATTATTATTATTATTATTATTCATTATTATTATTAATTATTATGTTATTAAAACCTACCTTAGGAACTTAGGCAATGGAGAAATTAGAGAACGTTTAAAAAAACGACGTTTAAGGGGAAATAGCACAAAAGATATTCCCTTGGCTAGTTATTAATTGTAGGCCTAGTAAATAGGTTATTGATTACAAGGCTTAGGCCAAGGTAATAATGCTGAAATGATTATTATTATTATTATTATTGTTATTATTTAACATTAATTACATTACAAGGATAGTTTGGCCAAAGTTCAATAACGCCGGAATGGTATATTTTATTTATTACGGTATTATTTAATAATATTTCTCTTATGCACTCTATTTTTTATTTCATGCTTCAATTTTTCCCCTTTTTTTCAAAATTTCAATCAACGTCATGTGAAGCGTGACTGTTGGTGTCAGCCTTGGACCCTAGCCTAGAGACTTAGGCCTAGTAGGGAGGGCCTATGGTAGGTAGGACTTAACTCATCCTGCTTTAGGCCTGTATTTTATCTTCTTTCTGTCAGCCTTTGGTGTACGTCCTATCTACACTTTATAAAGGGGGTACTAGCTGTTGTTGTTGTAAATATTATACTAACATTTAATAACATACAAGAAGGTCACAGTTAGTTACAGACGTCCCATAAATCCGTAAGATTTCATAGGCCTACCGTAGGTAAACATAGAAAGAGCCATAAAAGTAAAACTCGAGCGTCACGACATTGCGAAGTGTCTGCTCCTGTTCCTCGTATCGAACTCGAGTCGAGTCAATCCGAGGTGGCCCGAGTGAAGTTTCATGCAAATGTTTCGTACGGGAAAAAATCGCTGCCCGGTCTTGAGCGCGACGAATTCCTGGGTGACCATGGTGGAGTTTTTGCAACATAGTTGGCAATGACGTTGGGATGAGTAGTCGACAGTAATACAATTAGGTCATGATCAACAGACAAGTCTGGATGGACGCACCAGTGTTTTTTCAAATGATCTGGGAGGTCTTTCTTCGATTCAGGGAATCCATTGATGATCAAGCGTTTTAATTCTTGTTACTCTTTGTTGTCATTGTTGGAAGATTTCCAAACTTGGAACAACCTTGCTTCGTCATCATCGGGACTGTCGGCGACAGAACGTATAGCGGATATGGTCGGAGCTTCGTCCACATGATCTCCATTTACAATATGTTGCCCGGCCAATTCATGATCTCATCTAGTCTGTGCGTGTTGAGGATGGGTACTAATGGATGATGATCAGTCAATATTTCAAACTTGGGTAGGCCTTTCAGAAATTTATAACACATTTGAGCTGCCCATGCTACTCCAAGCATTTCTAATTCTATGACAGCATAACGTGTTTCAGTGTCACTCAGGTGTCTCGAGCCTGCCTGTACGGTTTTCCATGTGCCATCACTCTGTAACTGCATCAAAACTTATCCAATACCAATTCTACTTCAGTCGTGTAGGTTTGGTTAGATCGAAATATGCCATTGTTAGTGCCTTTGATAGTTCAGATTTAGCACGCTGAAATGCAGCATCATGGTCACTGTTCCACACGAACTCATTCTTTTCGGAAAGAAGTGGACGTAATGTTTTCATGAGTTGTGTGATCTTACCCATGGAAGATCCAAGTTGATTCACCAACCCAGCGAATGACCTTAAGTCAGTTATTTAACTATGAGTGGAGAACTGCCTGATTTTCTCAGTGGTTCGAGGACCAATAGAATATCCTTTTGCTGACAATGTGAATCCAGCGAATTCTACAACAGGTTTGCAAAGCTGAATCTTGTCCAATGACAGTGTGACGCCCTTTTATTGGCATCTGGCAAGGTATTCTCTCACTCCTCGGGCATGCTCAGCTCTGGTTTTGGTAAATATGATCATATCATCTACGATTCTGCGATGGTTTGTAAGTCCTGCAAATGTCTCGTCCATTCGTCTATTGTAGTGGTCAGATATGGACGATATGCCATACGGTGCACGTAGATATTTGTATTTGCCGAATGGCGTAATAAATGTCGTGAGTACTTGACTGGATTCAGCCAGGGGACATTGGTGATAACCATTTACAGCATCGATAACTGTGAAGTATTCTGCTTGTGATCCAGCTATATCGGCGACAGCATCCTGTGCAGTCGTGTGCGGATAGTATTCACGTTGGGCACTCTTGTTAAGTCGAGAGGGGTCAACACACATACGAATCTTGTTCGTGTCTTTCTTCGGTGTGACCACAATAGGTTCACACCAATCAGAGTGTCAGTGGTTTTCTTTATGATACCTTGTGTCTCAAGTAGTGTGAGTTCATTTTTCAGTTTATGTGTGTAAGCAAATGGAATTTTGCGTGGGTGCTAACACAAAACGGCGTAGTGTTGTCGGCTAGTTTGACGATGAACACTTCACCAGACATCGATTGAATTTTACTGTCAAGTGCTGATGGGAACTCTTTGCGCAAGGCCTCGATAGTCAGTCTAGGTGCCGGAACTGGCCTAGCTTGTTTGACTGATCTGGGTACTGGCACTAGTGTGATTTGTTGTTCTACGGAGACAACTGACTCAGGTTAAGTCGACGGAAGGAAGCCCAGTGATCTGGAAGCTGACCAAGAGAGTAGAGGCACGTTGACGTCATCTGAGAAGTATAAGTCAACCTTTTTCAATAGTCTTATCAAGTGATAGATCGTTTATTGATAAAGGTTGTTCAGTGATAGTTGGGTCAAACAATTCCTCCAGGATTTGGTCCCTTATTGCCTTTTTTTCACAATCGGCGTTTCAAAAATTACAGTCACTGACTATGTCTCTGAAGGAGACTAAGAAATCGTCGAAGTCCTCGTCAGGTCCTTGGGTTCTAGCCCTGAATCGTTTACGTTCTACGGATTCATTTATTTGGCCTTGAACATATTGCATGCTCCATGGCTCGAATTATTCTATCCGTTTCTTTTAGGTCAGCTGCTGTCAGTCCAAGGTTCATAACGATTTTCAATGTTTCTATGGACATGCACATTTTTAGCACGTTTACCTGGAAATCTGGCATTTCTTTATCTAGGCGGGTCACTGACTTGTACGCTTCCCACTGCTGCTGCCATACCTTGAAGTCAGATGCCCTGTCAGATGATAAGGCTAGGCGAGGGCCCTCAAATTTACAATTAAATTTCGGTGGCATGCTGTAGTTGCTGAGTGATGGGTCGTGACAAAGTGCGAGCCAGCGAGTCGTGCGAGTCATGTGCAATTCATGCGAGCCATAGGCCTACATTTTTAATTTTGTCTGTAATTATTTTTATTAACACGTACTATTGTATTTATCTATTTATTATTACATAAACAGTTAATTACATTCGTAAATTTCTAGGGGAATATTTTACCGCGGTAGTAATGGTATAATTGAAGCATTGTGATTGGTTGCAGGTGGACGACGACGACGTTGACGGTATCCAGGTTTTTCCTTCGCTAGTGAAGTACATTAATATATATTATATTATACATTTCATTAATTATAATATTTAAAAAAAGGTATGGATGCGGCACAAAAGCGCTTCGCATGTCTTTTGGATCCGTAAAACTGACAATGACAATACTGTATTTAAATAATTATAAATTATGATGTTCACATGATCTTTTCATCGAGTAGCCTAATACTAAAATCAAACCATTTCCTTCAATCAAAAAGTGACTTAAATCAACCCGGCCCGATCATATCCCTAGCTGAGTCTAATATTACGAGTCGCAATGACCCTAGCCAACATCGAAGCCAACAAGAAGAGAGGGAAACCGACGAAGGGGGGGGGGGGGGGTTCGGGGAGGTTCAATTCTGAAAGACGAATCGTACTCACCTGCATGTCATAGTTACCAACCGTCTCGCATCGTGCGGGACGGTCCCGCATTTCAAAGTGATTTTGGATGAAACACGCATTTTGCAGAAACACATGCGTGATCCTAAATTTGTCACGTATTTAACACAAGTCTATGCGTGATAACGACTTATCACAAATTCAGGGGAAAAAACCGAAAGGTCCACTGATTAATCTCAGATAACATAGTATAATACATACTCCAAGTATCGAAATGCACGCCATCGTGTCGGGATTAAATATTTCGACATTAATTATGTCATCATCAGGAATTGAAAATATTCAAATTAGATTAGATTATCATTTATTTAAAATAAATGTTATTAATAAATATGTTATGTTCTTATTAAATATTCAAAATAATTAGTAAGAATAAATATTGTTTTAAGTCCGATTTATTTTTTAAAATCATGTTACAAAATATATTATAAAAATATTCAAATTAGATATCCCCAATTACAAGCCAATAGAAAAATTATTTTTAAAAATGGTTCATGTGGGAATCGATCACACGACCTCCAGATTATCTAGCCAGATGGAAATTACTAAAAATGCTATTAAGATGTGAATTTGCCTCAGGAAATATTACAGGAATGACCCCCTGGTTGGGGTGGGAATCGAACCCACGATCTCCAGGTTATCTAGCCAGATAAAAACCACTACAAATTAAGATGTGAGTTTGCGACGTCAGGAAATATCATAGGAGTGATTATTTGCCCTACCTGACGTTTAATCGTACCGAATTCTCAGTAAGTCCCCAAATACTAGCCATTAATAAAATAAAAAAAAAAATTAAAAAAATGATTCGGTTGGAATCGAAACCACGACCTCCTGGTTATCTAGCGAAATGAAAACCACAACAAATGCTATTAAGGTATGAGTTTGCTTAGGGAAATGAAATGTTCTTATTAAATATTCAAAATAATTATTATGAATGGATATTGTTTTAAGTCCGATTTATTTTTGAAAATTATGTTAAAAAAAAGGTTATAAAAATATTAAAATTAGATTTCCCCAAAGCCAATAGAAAATCTTTTTTTAAATGGTTCGTGTGGGAATCGAACACACGACCTCCAGATTATCTAGCCAGATGGAAGTTACTACAAATGCTATTAAGATGTGAGTTTGCCTCAGGCATAGGAGTGATTATTTACCCGACCTGATGTGTTAACGTACCGAATACTATTCTAGCCAATAACCATCATTCCTGATGATGACATAATTAATGTCAAAATATTGAATCCCGACACGATGGAGTGCATTTCGATACTTGGAGTATGTATTATACTATCTTATCAGGGGAAAATGTATTTAAAGGTAGAAGAAATCGGTTGTATTAAAACTATAAAAACGGGGATGCAGTAACTTGAGTCATGAGAGAGTACAGTATTTCCTTGAAGGCCCTACTTATTTCACTAACGAGTTACTAAAAATTGATCAGTAATGAAATGTTTGTGTAGGTCTACATAGTTCGGGTACGTGCTCAATAGGCCTACATTGAAACTCAAATTGGCTTTATTAATAATATTTTTGCTTATGTACCTGAATTATCAACAAACACTCTCTGAAATAGTTTTAAAACAGCTTAAAAATGCTAAGATCGTCGGAGCGGCGGCGTAGTGGGGGGGGGGGAGGTGGTTCCCCTGCCGCTTGGATCCCACACCCGCAGCCAACTGGTATAGTCACTCACGCATTACAAATCTCTCAGGTTGGTAACTATGGCATGTTAAATCACGTTCGATAACAATTGATGTTATTATTCTTAGACATGTCATGATAGATTAATAAATAAATAGGGGCCTAATAAATGAATAGAATACTAAAATATATGGGTTATTCTATACTTTTGAGGATTATCATAACCACAACCGGCCACCAGGAGGGGTGGGAGGTTGTTCCCCTGCCGCTTGAATAGAATACTAAAATAGTATGGGTTATTCTATACTTTTGTGGATTACCATAACCACAACCGGCCACCAGGCGGGGTGGGGGAGGGGGTGGTTCCCTTGCCGCTTGGATCCCCCCCAGCCAACTGGTATAGTCACTCACGCATTTCAAATCTTTCAGGTTGGTAACTATGGCATGTTAAATCACGTTCGATAACAATTTATGTTATTGTTCTTAGACATATCATGATAGATTAATAAATAAATAAATAGGGGACTAAATATATGAATAAAATACTAAAATAGTATGGGTTATTCTATATTTTGTGGATTACCATAACCACAACCGGCCACCAGGAGGGTGGACAAGGGAAAGATCCCCGGGGCCGAAGCTTACCAGGGGCCTATATAAATTGCAGATAGCATTTTTTCCCATATTTAAAAAAAAAATATTAATTACTATCATGGGCCCTCAATAATGGCATGGGTCCCCTAATAATGGGCCCCACCAGATTGACAAGGCCCCCCTCAAAAAAATGTTTGCACCTCGGCGCAATCTTTCTCACGCGTCGCGCTCCTAACTGAGGGCCCACTCCCACCCTTGCCCTGTTACAGTTTCCTCTGTTGTCGGCCCTGACCACAGAACTACTGTACAGACTCCCTACAAATTTGCCACACATAGCTCCATCCTCCTCTCCCATCATTTCACCACACCCTGGATGCATTAATTGTTATAATTTGATTGCTAATCATACCTTTGTTTTTATATTATTTGGCATTTACAGTCAGATAATTAAGAAAAAATTATATAACAGTAATACAATAATTATAATATACCCAGCACCCAGGGGCATAATTATTGTTCAGGTGGTTTTTGAGGAGCCAGTATTTAATTCCACTAGGGTAAAACATTGATGATTAATTCAATGTTGAAAATGATGTTGCTTTCATTTCATCCGTCCATAATTACTAGAGACAGTTCGAAGAAAATGTAAACGCCCTAAGCGTTTACTCCTAATGGCCTTTATTTTTTTAGGGGGGGGGGGTTATTCAAGGGGCGTTTGTTCAAAGCAGGGCATTTATTTGAAGAAATATTTGAAATTATTAATTGTTATTTAAAACATGATAGATCACAGACAGGATGTTAGCCCATAAATTAATTATCATTAGTCTTTTATGCATTTTAAATTATGCCCTTAAATCTTTTAATTGTGTTTGGTTTCATGTTTTTTAGTTGTCTTTGCTAGTTATGTTTATTTTTGTGAAAAAGAAATAAGGTCCTCCCTCCATGCATGGGGCGAATGGGCAGTGTGAGTGAAATACTACATAGCCTATTACATAGTCGTAGTCAAAAAATATGTTAAAAGTAATTATCATTATTGTAATTGTTTTATAAATTGCACAAGTGTTTTTAGCGAAGACTTTTGTGTGCCTCGCATGACTCGCACAGTTGGTACACGTCCCGCAAGAATTACATTCATGGCTCGCATGAATTGCATGCCTCGGTAGATGACTCGCTGACTCGCTGGCTCGCACTTTGGCAACCCTCCTGATAATGATGGTGATAATACAAAAATTAATACCTCCTGATTATAATAATATTAATAATGATGATGATAATGAGCTACTTGAAACCACTTATATGTTTAAATTGGATAGTTAGATAGCCTACAAGAACTGTCTTTCCAAAAGAGAGAAGCATAACCACATCAAATCGACCGGTCAAACAATTTTGTGTCAAAGAGGGTTAAGTTCTGTCCAGATTATCAAATTGTTTTGACAAAAAACTGTTGTATGGCCATGGTCATGATGTGCCTATACATGGTATTGATGTGATGTCATGACCATATTTAGACATTGTCACATGTTTTTGTCAAATAAAATTTGATAGTCTGGACAGAAAGAGTTCTATTAGATAAATAAACCTTTAAAAAGTAGACAGAAAAAGAAAGTAACTGTTTGTTCATACTTAGCTTTTCCATCATTTCAGTGATGCTGTTCGACCTCCCATCACTCTTCCGCATATGTGGTAGAACGGAGGTGAAGTGCTTTTTTATGTTGCCGAAGTTTTTCGCCCATTTTGGAAACTCTATCTTGGAGAGTTTGCACTGATTTCGTATGTACTGGTTACAGTCGAAGATACTAGAAAAATAAAAATAAAACATGGTAACTTCATTCGAGTCGATTATACTTCTAATGATATCTAGTAATTGTGTATAATTAACTGGCTACTTAAATAGTTAAAGACGCCACTGAATTATTTACTTTATTAAGTGGCACAAGATATCTTACAGGCCTTGTCTGTTTTATATTATATAGCTATTAATTCTATTATTAAAAGCTTTAACAGGTGCTTTATAAATGTCATCTTCGACATCAACTTTGTAATCATGGACACCATAATCCAATCACCATAGTACAACCAACAACATCGTCACATAGTTTGCACAAAGTTTTATTTTTATATATTTATTTTATTCCCTTAGGCCCACAACCAAAGATTATCAATAGCGAATTATTGGCTTCCTTTTTTGACATTGGCCAATCACTTCATAAGACAACCATATACACATGATGATGCTCTACAATACATGATTGAAACTCCATAACGATGCTTATGGAGTGATTTGTTTTGAAAAAAATATCCTGGAATCTAACAGGATTCGAACCCAGAACCTTGGGATTGGAGGGCAACTTAACCACCAAGCTATTCAACTCCACTTTAGTCATCGTCCTTGCTACTGTGACAAATCAATATTGAATTTAGAGAACAAAATACCCGTCAGTAATGAAAGTAAAGTTTTGACTTCCTGGCTGAAGATTTAATCCGTTTTCTTTCATCCATTTCACCATCCGTCCGTACACATCTTTGAATGGATCTGCTCTGTCAACATCTCTCTGTTTACATGATAAAACAATATTTTTATAAATAGCTATGAAGATATGAAGTAGTTATAACAAACTTTCTATAGCTCATAGCAGTAACAATATGAACAGGCCATTTATACTTATACAGTTATATGGAAGCAGAGAAGGGAATAGTAAAAAGAGAGGTTTGAAAAAAAGGGATTTTGGAAGAAAAGAATCCGGGAAGAAAGAAGAGACGTTTGAGTAGGAATGAGAGAAAAAAAATGAACTATGGAAAAGGGGAATGTGGAATTAAGAAACTGTGGGGAAAAAAGAAGTGAATAGAGTGCATTTGGTACCCGGCTCAATCTATATGCTGCTCTTCCAGTGTATGAGACAGAGGACTGAAATTCAAGTACCGGTATATAATATAAGAGAGGGCACCCGTGTCTTTCGATTATTTCGAAATAGACATTAGAGAGGTATAGCAAGCTTACGAAAAAAAATAATCAATACTGTTACCATATAGGTTGTTTTAATGATAAACCTACATGATTACCTGCGTTATTTTTGTAAGATCAAGACAGTATCGCGTCAATATTCCATTTACATTTGGACAAACATACTCTTGAAATTCACTGATCTAAAAATATATAAATCCATAAATCATAATGGTTACATATTACTGAGATACAAATATATTACTTGTTTGTATATAAATGTTATATATTAAAATCCCCCAAAAATTAATTGAATAAAAACTGTTTTCCTTTTTTCCTTCAGACATTGTAATTTTTGATTAGTGCTAAAAAAAAAACCCACTAATAAACTATTTAGTACAAAAGCTTAGTATTATTATTATTATTATTATTATTATTATTATTATTATTATTATTATTATTATTATATAATTACATTTTACTTAATATTTACTGCACTGGCTGTTAAACATGGGTTATGTAATTTGTTTAGACTACATTCAGATAAAAATTTGTCTCTTCAGCGTGATTAAAGCACTTCTGAGATCTTAACCTTTACAAAGAATCGTAACCATGATGATAAGGTTGATAATGATGATGATAATGGTGATGATGATGATATTGATGATATTATTGCATTACAAAAATATGTATGCACAAAGCAAACTATATTTTGAATTTGAGAAAATAAGACATTTTACAAAATCACGTAACTCCTGCTAATCCATACTTCCATCAATAGAAAAAAGAAAGCATGTTATTAATTAATTTACAGAATTTATATACTATATTGTTTAATTGTTAATTTAACTACGGTACCGTACTACAGTACTTGTACAATTAATACAACTACTATAAGTTTAACATTAGCATTTTGCATGATAACAATTTACTTCTTTGAGTTGCTTATCCAGCAAAACGGCACCAATTTCGATGATTTCTGGTTCCCAGTCCTGTTGTCGAGGGTAGACACATGTCGCCTCCAGGTCACACACAAGGTAATATTTCGAGTTACCTCTGCTAGCCATCTGAAAAGACAAATAAAACTGAATAAGAAAATTTTTTTTTTATAAGAGCGCATGTGTATAGGATGTCCAGAGACAAAATTCGGATGTACCAAAGCCCCCCCCCCCGCCTCACCCTCCAAAAAAAAAGACTTTTTTCATGTCAATTAAATGCGTCTATAGCTGCATTTACATTGGATCACTACCAAAATTTGCCAAACGCCTCTCAATTCTTACATACAGTAATTCGATTTCTCCAAATTCGAATTTATTGCGAATGTACCGTACCTTAATTGAGTACAAGGCGTACTTTGGTCCCTTTTGGTTTAGATCATTATCAAATTTCAAATTCTTCTATTGTTGTGGTTCATGAGACACCTTTTCTTGGTATAACCCTCTCTTCAGATTTATCATTTCTTTAACGTTTTAACCTGCACCAGGGCTTTTCGACTTCTCGGAATTATGCTGTTCAAAACCATATTGTTTTTCTTAATCTGTATAAAGCTATTGTTTCACCAATTATATAATACTGTTGTTCCGTTTGATTTCCTCACCAGCTTTATCTTATCAATAATATTGAACAAAAAAAAAAAAAAAAAGCTGTTACAAGAATTGCATTTGTACGTAGTTGTTGGAAATTTTATGACCGCGATTATTTAATCGAAGAAATGTTAGCCGTGTTGTACTTGCTGCTAAATATTTCTCCTCCAATTGCCGTACAAGGGTGGCTTATCCTTTACTTTTTTTAGTAAATCCCAAAGATCAATCTAAATGAAGGAGTGTCCCAGCTAGAACTAATACTTTTCAAAAATTGGTTTTAATTGTGGCAGCTAGATTGTGGAACACTCTTCCTCCAAGTGCTCGTACTGATTTTACGTATTTTTCTGTTAAACGATTTTGCTACCTTATCCTTTATTGAAAACTGGGAGCCTTCTCTGCTAATTTTGTTTTTAATTCATGCTTTTTGTATTGTTTTTAATTATTTTTCATGTATGTATTTTTAGATTGTTATCATTTGAGGGGATTACCATTTGGGTTGGGCCTTGTCTAGGTCTTGTTCTAACTAGCTATCTAGACACTCTCCCAGCAATTTCATTCATTGTGATATTCATCTTTGTGTCGAATTGGTAATAAATAAATAAGTAAATGTGACAGGGGCAATCAGTTGTTTGTCGGTAAACCCTGAATGGAGATATAGGCATATACAAAAACACGATAAAAATGGAAAGAAATCGATATCCATTTTATTGAATAAACGTCCTTAAGTATCAGTCTATGTTTGTATTTTTCAGCATTCCTCCAAGAAATGACATTTTATGAGGCCATCTTTATTTAGAATTATCAACTCGGTCCGTTTTAACCGTAAAACTCATTTATTCAACGCCGTGCAGGTCGCCATATTATGTAAAAGGAAGTGGCGCATGTTTACTATCATTGTGAAGCATTGTTAAACTCCCATTCTATTGGACAATAGCTCCTTATTATGCCAATTACAATGCGTTTTTTAGTTGTAAGCAAACCTGAAAGGTCCATGACGACTGCGGTGTGCTCTCTGTGTGGCATAAACAAACCTAGCATCATTACTGTACTAAAAAAATGGTGGCCGCATCGAAAACTGTGAAGGTTTTCTCGACACTGACTTCGATCATTTGCACGATGAATTGGAAAATGAAGAAAAGGTTTAGATGTTGTTTCAGCAAGAAACTAGGCCAGGCTAGACTTACTAGCTAGGGCGGTGGCTACTACTAGCTAGGCTTCAGGCCTAGGCTAGGCCAACCCTCGGTGTGTATTTTATATTTTAAAAGAAATTACTGCTTTTTTTTCAAAGTACTATTGCAATAGATAATTGTACGGGCATAATGAACCACTTTAACATTCCTCCTCTCGATTACATTTCCTCTTGTTATTAGAAAGGGCGGTGTGATGTTTGCTATTAAAAACTATATTCTAAAATATTCTAAAATACAATATTCTTGTCAAATTTTAGACTATAATTAATTAAAGAAGACAATGTTGCAGAATATTAGAAAAATATACAGTTCATTTTTTGTCCAAAATTGCATTACTATGGCACAATCATAACTTCTCATTTGCTAGGGTATTATTTAGCCCGTTCGCAAAACAACTGGTTCTACCTAAATAATCAATTTCGGTGACAAATAAAATGCTGATAGACTTCTCTACTGGTGTAGCACCAGTCATCATCAATCATCTGATCAGAATCCTTTCAATCAGATTTGGTGACGTCATCATGACTATCATGACTCTTTGTCACCGAAACTGATACTTATCAGATTATTTAAAAGAAGCGATCGCTAAACTTTACATGCTAGTTTTGTCGATAACTTCTTCCAGTAACTTTCTCACGTACATACTCCTTCAATTCGTAACTAAAAGTCGGTTTTTTATAAAGTGTTTGTTATTATGAAGATAAGACTCTGTTTTTCATATTTTAACATTATGAAAAAATCGACAAACGATTGATTCTGTCTGTTCCTGCCACAAATAAATAAACCGGATTTACTTTCGAAACTTACAAGTTAGACGATAGCTAAGTATTTACAGCAACCTGGGGCAATAGACACAAACAATATTCACTGTCTGTTTATGATGAATGTAAAATACCATTTAGGATATAAGAATAAATAAGAGACTAACCATTATTAATATTATTTTATATATTATTTATATTAGTTTCATATTTGCTTTACAATTCCGGTTAAAACTATTATACCGGACTCAAACTAGGATCACAAGTTTCAAATGTCGATATAATATATGGATGTCACATTATGTAAATGATATTTTGCGTAAGATTGTTTTTTTTTCTTTTGCTGCGTTGCGGTGGCAGATCCAAGAATTCACATATGGAAACGTTTTTGCCACTTTTTATCCTTTGCTAGTCCAGCTATCACGAAAGCAGCGAACTGAGATCAAATCAACCCCGCTGTACAAGTAGGTTGGATCGACCAATTAAAAACACTGGTTTGTTTCATTTTCGTTATGGGGTTAAAATATTAACAAAATTCAATTTTCACAGTCAATAATCTTTTGTTAAAACTTGTATTTGAACACATAATTAACAGTACACATAGTATAGTGTAAAGTGAACAAATGTTGAGATCTCTCTTCCCTTAGTCCACGCTTTCGTGTTGGCGGGATTGGCTTAGCCCTACGCTACACCCCTACGGAAATTTTCAAACGGTCCAGACTTACCCTAGTAGCCACACCAGGTTTTGTATGCACTTTGAGGTCCAGAGAATTTTACGTCAGAAATTGGTTTAGGGTGGTCCAAGAATCATTTTTGGCTTGGTAACACATTTTCAAAATGTGGCGAAAGGTCAAAAGGTCAGGGTCAAAGGTCATAGCTATAGGGTCGTCGTATCTCCGCAACCACTGGTGGTAGAGAGTTAATTTTGGTGCCTATTTGTTCAGAACAGTCATGTTTCTATTTGCTCTAATGAAACATTTTGTTAAATAATGAACAGGAAATGCTGTTATGCTATCAGCTCAGTCACATCCATGACTTAAGACTTAATAAGACATTCTTCCTTGGCAACCTTTCCCTAACGGATAAGCTCTCCACGACCGGAGAAAGGAGATGGGTTAGATGTTGTTGTACTCCTGGTGCTACTTCTAGTGTAAGGGAACACTAAAATAAACAACTAGCGTAGCCTAAATTTAACGCTGTAGTTCCAAATGTGGATAAGCATAGGCCTACAATGACATTAAAAAAAAGCTTCTGCTCGTTATCAAACCGATTTGTCTAAATAAATACGTATAAGCATATAATATATAGATTACCTTGTAACGGACAATTAAGTACGTGCTACCGTGTTGTATGGAAAGTACTGACTGACTTCCTTCAATATGAAATTTGGAAATTCCCAGAGATCGTTCAATAGCATTCAACCGATTAACATAAATAAATGTGTTGACATAAATAACAGTGAACATAAAAGAAATGCTGCATAAATAAACAAAACATTGAGTTGTGGCGCCATTCACAAACACAATTACATGTCATCTTGAATGGCTTGGCTTAAGAATATTCAAGATTTGATATTTAATGTAAGTGTGTTTATATTTAAAAAATTTGTTCAGATAAACAGACAAAAAAAAAAAAATATATAGGCCTACACAAAAAAAATTTGATGTTAAGTAAAACAATTTTCCAATACGCCTATAAAATAATATTGTAACTAGGCCCTATTTTAATTCTCAACAGTGCACAAATAATCACATTATTTTTAAATCACTAATTGATTTGGTTGCAATTTCTCGACTATGCGTTACAGCTGTACTAGTATAATTTAGATTTGTGAATGTCACTTGACGGCGAAGCCTAATCTATTCGTATAAATGTTTTTTGAAAATCCATATTATGATTCATCGCTCCGCTCTGCTAATTATGCAAGCAATAATTGTGACTATTATTCACGACTGCTGGAACAATAACGTCTATTACAATGTATAAAGTAGCGTGCTTCCTTTGAAGTGTGATTTTGGAAAATCCTGATATAAGTAATCAATATTGAGAAATTGCTTTATGATTATGTTATGATGTTCAAATGCTTTGTATTCCTTTGTGTGATACGTTGAACCGTTGGCAACGGAGCTGTGTGTACGGCGCAAATATGAATAAAGGAATACTTCTTGTTGTACCGGTATAACTTGTGTAGCCTGGTCATTTTGGTGACGATGAATGTAACAATGATGATGATAATGCCGATGATAATAATAATGACGATGTTGATAATAATGGTAATAATAATAATAATAATAATAATAATAATAATAATAATAATAATAATAATAATAATAATAATAATGGTAATAGCCTAATAATAATAATAATAATATTAATAATAATAATAATAATAATAATAATAATAAATTATTATTATGATTATTAGTATTATTATTATTATTATTATTATTATTATCTCGTGCGTGTTAAAAAGGAAGTATACTAACGCAGGAACCAGGAGGGTCAACTATCCCATCATCGGTATTCAAGCAATCAAACTATGTAGGCCTGTGTATTCACGAAAGAACTGTACATACAAGCACGTTAAAAAAACTCATTCAAGTCATTGTTTTGAGGCTCGTGAGAAATTAATAATAAAAAGAATATTGCAGGTAAATACCAGAGCAGCCACTCCATGCCGTGTAGTGGGGTCACGGCCCTGCTTCTACCAATTCTTTTACCACTATACGGTACACGAGAATCTTATTGTCGAGTTTTAATCGGCATGGTTCTACAGAGAATGATCTAGAGAATAGACTCGGCAAAAAGTCGAATCCATAGAGTGCACACCTCCGCCCTGTGCCTGGATACCAAATAATACGCATGTCGTTTAAATTGACTATTCCATTAATGCTTGAGGGTAAGCTCAGGAGGATTCCGAATTTCCATGACCTTGACCTTGTCCTACGACCTTATTTTCCCAAAAGTTAACCACCTCTTACTGATTGTTTTGTACCATTCCACTAAATTTCATGATGATCTATTTCAAAGTTTTTGCGTAATCTTGCTAACAGACAGACAGTTTGACAGATAGATAGGGGTTAATACATAACTTTGGCTTAGGTACTAAATCAAGTAAGAACATGTTGAGCCGTGAGTTGGAGCACGATATTCTGAATACACTATTGAAAATGATTCATAGTTTTAATTAACGCCTTTTAGTAAAATACTATGTTCCATGCGTCTTGTAATATACTGTTAGCGTTGTTAGTGGTTAATATTTCAGTGACTGAAATCTTTGTTTTTTTTTTAGAGGATTAGCTCTAGGAATACCCGGCTAATTGCTTCATAGATTTTCATTGCATGGGCGGCCGCTGGGACCAATTAATAATAATATTATTATTAGCTCCAGTGAGAAGCTCTAAAAACACAGAGCTAATTGAGTATTAGATTTTTTTTGTTTGGGCTGCCGTTTGGCCAGTTATTTTTTATTAATATTTGCTAAGATGAGAAGCTCTAGAAACACTCGGCCGATGGATTAATATATCTTTTTATCTCCAATGAGGAGTTATAGGAATTGAAACGGCTGACTGATTATTTTTTTTTCGCTGATTGATTAATGAATTTTTTTTGTATGTGCTACCGTTAGGGCCAATACAAACTACTGCCTTTATTTTACCGCCCTCCTCGGAGCTTTGAATGTTACGAGACCTTGTTTTCTTTTTACGTTCTCGTGGACAAACGTCATTGCAGTATCTTGATATGCATTACATGGAAGGATATTTTGCTGCTACACTATGCAACAAATAATTCAGTTGATGGATTTTGTCTGTGATTTTACACAATATTATTTAATTTCAATTTTGTGTTTAATTGCAAATAGAGACCATGATAATAGGCCTATATTAGATTTGAATAATTACAGGCGTAGGTAGCAATCAATAATTGTTTACCAAGAGAGGCCGCTATGTACCTCTAACAAGGTTCAAATTCCGAAGTTCTTATGTCCGGAGAAAAACATTTTTTTTAGTGTAAATTTCTAGTATTATGGTCTAACTCAAGATTAGCAAGAATCTTAAGAGTAGCCTACATCCTTGTTGGGCCCTATTTGAACTTCTTGGTATGGTGATTGTAGTTTTTGCTTGGCAACCTTGGCTATCCCAACATTAACATACATTTGTTCATGAAGATTGTGCAATCACAATTTTGAGTTTATTTACGTGCATTAATGGTAAAATCATAATCAGGTGATTAGAGGATTGCTCTCTTAATACGCTTCATTTTGCTTCACAGGGGTTTAAAGCTGGTTTTCCACTAGGCGAATTTATTCATGTGAATCCAAAGCGTCGGCTTATGCTCATGCGCATTCACATTCCTGTCGGAGTTTTTGCGAAGCGAAAAAAATGCGCAACCAATCAAAGCTCAGAAAGCGAGCCGACGTTTTGATTCGCGCGAATAAATTCGCCTAGTGGAAAACCAGCTTAAGGCCGGACGCAAAATTTTTTTCCTGGACGTTTGAGGCAGTGGAGATTGGTGGCGCTATAGATTCAAAATATCACCTTCCTGATTCGGCAGTCGATCATGAATATTTATTGTACTTTTTTGTTTATTGCCAGAGCAGTTTCTATACACTAAGTGCTGATGACATGTGATGCGATAGCGACATGGCGAGATGAAGAGTGTTGAACACCACAGACTTAACTCTCCTTTTATTATAATTCTGAAATACACAGGCCAATTTTTGAAATGAATAATGATTAGGCTATAATTACAAAACAAAAATACTGTCTCAGTCACACATACCAAAATATAAATACTTACTAGAAATTGCAAATTGCAAATGAAGTGCTGCGAAGTACAACTGCATGTAAATGTTCTTCGAACAAAATTATTTATGCGAGTCAAGTGAAAATAATGAATAATAAAAATATAACAAATAATATGAGCACGACCCATTGTCTATATTAGAACAGCGTTGGTAACAAATATGAGACTTGACCCATTGTCTATATTAGAACACTTCTCATTGGGTATCAAAGTCTGAATTATGGTTTAGGTTTTTTTTTTAATAAAGTTTCAAAAATTTCTATGTATGTGGAAAATGTAGTTGATTACCAAAGGTTACAATTTTTATTTTGAAGACTGCATGGTCTAGGAAGTGTACATTTTGTTATATGGCAAGTTTCCAAGGGCGGGTTTTCTAGGGGCGGGTTGACTGCCAAAGAGTGTTGCCAAAGTGCGAGCCAGTGTGTTATTTGATCACAAGTGCGAGATATCGCAAGTGTGAGCCAGCGAGCCATGACGTCACGACAATAGATACGATACGTTACTCGAGTTGTGCGAGGTATCGGCTGAAATTTGTGGAGTACAATTCAAAAAACAACTATAGGTCTAATAATGAATTATTGTGATGTTAGCTATCAAGTACCGACGTTTTTTTTTTTCATTGGGAGCTTCGTCCCTTCAAGGCTAGGCCTATACCATCCTAGCTAGTCTAGACCTAGAGTAGGATAAGGCTAGCGCGACATGCGGACGTTAGTACGTGTTGGTTAGTCTACAAACGTCGCCTAAAGTAATTGATTTTACCCGGCAGAACGAAAGAAGGAAACTCCGCTTTTCAGTCGTCTTAGGCCCTTGTTTTTTGACAAACAATGACCTTTCAGAGGTCAAATTGCTGTCAAGAATATGAATTGGCTGCTTCGCAGCAATAAGTTGTAGGCCTACGACATGTATCTAGGCCTGCTTGACGTATGCAGTAAAGTACAGTTTTAATAAGCACAGTAATATAGATCTAATAATTATCATGACAATGAAATAACTAAATAATACCAATGGTGACGATAATGATGATGATGACGACCAATATTATCAGTATCAACATTGCTGATATATAATTGGACTTGTTTTCTAAGGCATCAACATAACTTAAAAATACAAACAATGTGTGATCATTTTTACAATTAATTATAATGTTACCATGGTACTCACTGTGATCTGTTTTTTTTTTTTTTTTT